AGCTTACATTGTGTGTGCTCATAACAGAAAATGTTACATCAACCGCTCTAAATGAGTTCATGGAGTAATTAAAAGAATGCAAAGGTATTATACTATTATGTCAACTATATTTTATTGTTAAAATGTATTTATTTGACTAATTTAAGAATGTTTTTAAAATAGTTTTGGTTGACTATAAATTTGTTTATAAAAACCGTTAAAAACCCGCAACACCTGATCATTCATTCTATTTCTGAGATTGGGCCGCCTGTGAGCAAACTTGTCAACAAGTTGTAACAATGCTGTTATTTTATCAAGTTGCCACAAAGGTTGTCACTCGCAACTTGTTGACAAATTGTTGAATTGCAGGACGATAAGAAGGTGTTGGAACAACTTGTAACAAGTCTGTTGCGCTCAACAACCTTGTAGCAAGTTGTCAACAAGCTGGGAACAAGCAGTGCGAACACATCCTGTTGACAAGTTGTTGGAACAGCATTGCTACAAGTCTGCTGCAGGTTTGTTACAACTTGTGCGTTTTTACACCTTCCCGCAAGGTGTAATTGTACTTTCCAGAAATGTACATATAAATAGGAATAATATATACTGTAAATTTTTATCTTAATTTTTAATTTTTATCTTATTTTAATATAATTTATTCTTGTTAATAAATTACAAAAGATTCATGCTAATTTATGCTGATTTATGCAGAGATTGGTAATTGCCGCAGAAGAAAAATTGCGGGCGTTCACATTCCATTCTCAACTCAAGTTCGGCATTTATATTCAATTTTATACTTGAGTTTTTCTTTGAGATTTCTCGGTAAAATTTGCTATAAAACTTAAACAAGGAGGCAGGCAACGTTTCAGGAAAGTGTAAGGTGAGTTTTACAAACTTATTTATTGCATTTCAATCGTTTAGAATGCGAAAATCAGTTGAGATAGCGCGAGTCAAATTTTTGTTTACGGAACATTTTTTCGTCGAAATATTTTTGAGATTCTTTGTTAGTTCTTAACGTTGTTAAGTTTTTTCATGTTTTACTGCTTGAACATAGCTTGATATTTTAACACTGAACCTTTCATAATTGTTATCCCTGTTATTTTCCACAAAAAAGTTTCTATTTTATAAAATACGTAGTATTTACACAGTTGTATTAATAGTGTACTAGTATTAATTTATGTCTGTTTCAATAATATTTCATTACATAACTTTAATACTATAAAATTTATAAATTTCACTTATATACATCATGTTTCATAGTTGTTAAAGACACACAAGCATAGGTCATTATTTAGATTTAAAGCTGTTTCTACATATCCATATGCAATGTTGTACATATCAAGACGTTAAATTACTCAATATTTAACAAATTGCTATTGAATTGCTATCCGTTCATCTATGGCATATTTTAAAGTGGCAATTTCCCAGCTCAAGAGTTTGTATTTGACCGAGTAAAAATGATTGTATAATGATAGCCAATGTTAGTAATACAAAATGACCATGAGTTGAAATTTCTGGTTAGAAATCTTGACAGCATTCATTTCAATATGATTGTTTGATAACTCTGGCGCCATGACACTCTGCGGATGTCTGGATGAGTTGATGCCACCGTCTTGTACCATATGCTCATGGTTAGATTTCTCAGTGGTAAACTCGTATTTAGACATACCAAGAGGACAACTAGTAAATTTTACTTTGCAAAATATCAGTTTTTTATTTTTGACAGAATCAGTTGTTTGAAGATGATGAAGTTTCTCTTGGCTATAGCAGCCATCTCTCTTGTTCTTTATGAAGGTAGGTAATATATGAATGAATAAATTTTTGCCTAAATGAATGTTAAAATCAGTGGCGCCTCCAGCTCGATAATTGGGGGGGCCAATATTCATATATTTGTGTTCACAGACCATAAAACAATCGATTTCAAAAGCGGTTAATAATGCAGAACACAAAGATATGAATATTCGCCCCCCCCAATTATCGAGCTGGCGGCGCCACTGGTTAAAATGGGTTATTCGAGAAAACATTCACACCTTCAAAAGACCAGGTTGATTATTAATTGGTTATTGGTGTTCTAATAATTGATTCAGAGTATGAATTAATGGGTACTAACTGTTGATTGAAACTCTTTGTTGCTATGAATTTCATTGAACTGCCGAACATATCGTACTGTTTGTCTGTCAGTCTGTGTCTTTGGTAGACCATGACAAGTCTCCACCTGCAAACTTAAATGTTTTGCCATCACAGCTATTTTTATTCTGCCCTTATTTCAAAGTTTACAAATAAAATTGCATTCAAATTTATAAACTTTAAGCATTTTCAACAAAAGTTTGACGAAACATGTTTGAAGTTCATAAATTTAATTATTTAAACGCAATTTTGTTTGCAAACTTCGAAACAAAGGCCGAATTAAAATAGCTAGGATCACTGCTAATTGCAAAACATCTAATTTTGTGGGTGAAAACACAGACAAATATATTCATGTTTTCCAGTTCAATGAAATCTATAGTATTAGGCCAAAAAACAAAATATGTGGGTTTCCGGTTTCTTCTTATAAAAACTTAGGTAGGGTAGGTCGGTTTTAACTCTTTTTTTTGAAACTTTTTTTTTTAATTTTCCGAATAAGCGGACGCCATTTTGTTTAGTCAGTGCTTCCACATCCAAAGATAAATTTCCCTAATATTGCCTCAAATTTCAATTTTCCACAAACTTTTTCCTCTAAGTGGAAACACTTACAAGCATGATCCAATAAAAAAGTTTAGGGTCGGGATTTCGGCGTCCAAAAGCTAGGTAGGGTCGGGAAACCGGAAACCCACATATTTTTTTTTTGGCCTTATCAATTGTGTGTATTTAGGTTTTGCAATCAACTGCTACACGTGTGTAAACCAGAGGATTGGTGACTGTTTGAGGAGTAACCAGACATGTGGTAAAGGAATGGACAAGTGTTTTAGCATGCAGAAGGAAGCGTTAGATGGTGGTTATCGTTATACTAAACAGTGTGCGGACGAGTGGTACTGCGAAAGAACCGACGCCGCGTGCAACGACCTTGACGAGCCAGAATACAGTTACATGGAATGCAATGTTGGATGTTGTACTGACGACCTCTGTAACGGGGCTGAGGGTGGTCTGTTCGTTAGAAGCTCGTTATGGATGGTATTAGCCGTACTGGTTCCCTTTGCTCTTTACCAACTACAGTGAATTGACAAACATCAAGTTTTGTAAGTAGTCGTTGTTGTGATAACGTCGCGTGAAAATTGTGTAATTTGTATCATTCGTCAACTTTAGAATATACTGTACAGTTAGGTAGTTAAACTTAGGCAAACACCAGTTTTGTAATGATAAGATGGTGTAAAGTAACTATATATACCCATTCACCACATATGTACATCTGCAAAATAATTTAACATGGAATCAAAGGAGTTTTTCCAATAGGTTTTGTCAGATGAAGCCAAATGTTTATTTGGTAAAGCAAAACTGGGTTTGAGACAGATATTTAGTTTATAGATGGATTTTGAGATTTTGCTGGGGGGGGGGGCAAGTGAGCAAGGAGGTATGTAGCTCTGCCGAGCAAACTGAATCAGGGGTCTGGGGCACAGTCACTTGTGGGGACAAGGTTGACAGTAGGGGGCAAACCCCCATGCAAGTTTTGAGATTTTTGGTCTTCAAAATCCTTATTTCAATCATACTATTTAAATTTCTGGTGGGGAGGGTGTGCAAAGTTGTCTAGATTTGGTGGGGAAATTTTCTGAGGGGGTGTACCCCCTGTCTATGATTTAGCTGGGAAATTTGCAGGAAAGTAACAGCATTCAACCTTTGACCCAGGTGACTGGCAATGCATGCAGAGATGCTTGGAAGTTTAATAATATATTTTATTATATAAAGTATAGTGCTTTATAGAGATTTCGAGCACTGATAAAAGTGATAATCTCAAATGTGAGATTATGGTATGTGAAAATTATCGCTTTTCAATTATCGCTTTTCTGTAAAAATTATCGCTTTTCAAAGACTGTCCTTTATATAATAAACAGAAAAATACATGGATGCTTGGAAATACCAGATTTATTTCTCGTGTTGAACATGATATCTCACTTCTTTGCTGCGCTCACTCCTGAGATATCATGTTCAACACTCGAAATAAATCTGGTATTTCCGCGCACCCATGTATTATTCTCTCTGTAAAAGCACATGCAACACATTGTAAAACACATGCATGCATCCATGCAACTACATGTCATGTATTAATGATGAAACAGAAAACCAATCCATATAGCAGCTCTACAGTATATATTATATTATATATGATGCTGTGTATTATAAATTTGTTATAATACTTCATGACTGGATAAATATTAATTTGTAACATTTGGAAATTTTTACTTTTAATAAAAAAGAACATATTAGTGTTTGCTTTTACCAGTACTTAAAGAATTTATTATAATTTGTTTGAAAAAATGTCTTCCCCTTCGCCTCTTTACCACGTTATAAATTATTTGCGATTATTAGTGTCGCAGCAAGCTTATGTAAAAAAGTTAATTTTTTCAGTGATTGAAAGTGATTAAATAAGCGAATAATACTTAATAAATAAAGTGAATAATAATTCATTATTGACTAGCTATCAATGTGAGTTGCTTGATGACGTCTCTGAAGTGTACGTTATTTTGTACAAATCAAAGGACGATACGAATGGTGAAAGGCCAAATAGCGCAAAGCAGTGATGTTTTCTCGTTTTCTACGTCATAAACTGGACTTATATGTCATGAGTGCCAGATGTTGGGATCCTAGGTGAACTCGTTATCTGCAATGCTTGGAGCTAACTGCAAACCATGGGGCAGAAGGTCTTATGCACTCTAGTATAGTAGAAAATTTCAATTTTTCCCAGTCTCTTTGCAATGTTTACCGACCAGATTTAATAGGTGTCTCTTTTCTATTTTTAAACTTTGTATGGCTTGCCAAATTTTATTTCTCAAATCTCAAGCCGTCAAGCTTAGAGTTATGTTTCCTAATGCCAAAATTAGCCCAATTAGCATTTCTTACGCAGGTCGAAATCCGCCATTTTTGGTTGACTGTAAACAACGCGAAAAATCTAAGCGATGTGAAAATAATTTTTCAAATATTTAACTGTAAATCGATTTATAATGATTACTTACTTACTTACAGATTTATTTCGCCATGCTGGCCATACACAATATAGTTGTAAAATACATTCTGTTGATTTTCAAATGGGGCGTGTTATACTTACAAACTATTTTAGCTCACATCCTAAGTCTCTGGTATAGTGGACATACTGCGTTTAAATTGGTAAAGCGAAGATGCCTTTTTCGCCTCAGAAGGAAGACTATTCTATAGCATTGCACCACTATACTTAAAACTTCGTTTAGGATAGTTTGTTTTAGGTTTTGGAAGTGCTAGATCAGTATCATTATCTCGAAGATTATATTCTCTATTAAGTAAGATCTTTCATTTTTGTAAATTTTTCTCTGAGACTTCGAGCGGACTGCTCATTAAGAAATACTTACAACTATAGTTATAGAAAGATTCATTTTCACTGCTTACTATCCCTGTTCTAAAAAGGTTGCCACCCACAAATGGCGGCGTGAGAATTAAAGGCTAATTGCCCAAAAAGTTCCCCCCGTCGTAACTCGCAAGCTATGCGGTCTCAAACCCGCTCCAAGTGCTCGCTTCGCTCGGAATGCTAACTTCAAATTATTTTTGGTTGCCCGCACGAAAATTAAAATACAGGCATGTTCCTACGTCATATAGTGGTCGATGACGTTCATCAGTTGCTAATGGCCTCCCAAGTGTGTTCTGCGTGGCTGTCTTCGTGCATGACATCCAGGCGCAAGCTGGCCTCCCGAACAACATATAAACCAGTCAAAAACATCAGCTCACTCTTCTATACCACCTCAAAAATAGCTTCGAAAAAATTTGCGCAAAGCTCCATGCGTATATGTTCCAGACGCACAGATCGCGTGATAAGGAACTGGGGACGAGTCAGAGATGTCAGTAAACGCATATCAAGGATAGTGTCCTCACAGTAATAACTATACTAGTTTGACTATACTGTACAGCAGTAACTAACAAAGAGATTTAGTTAGAATTTTACAATTCTTCTAAAATTTAAATGTGCGCGTTCTGTTGCATTCAAAAGTTTCGTTGTCAAGCAAATATGGTTACAGCTTCAGTCAATTTTAATCTCTAAGATTGATTGTTTCGCCTTTTAAAAGCTCGTTAATCATTCTAACGCCAATATAGACAATTCAATGTACGCTTTCTTTGTTGGGAAATTACAAAAGCTCGCTGTAATGAGCCAATAACGAGCATACAAATCAATTGTAAAATAATTTTAAGATTATTGTCAGTCTCTATATACAGTTTTTCGCGTGCACACAACCAACACAAAATTGTTGTCAAGGGAAAATGCGACGTACGGAGCATAAGTTAGGCGAAAAACGTGTATTCTTAGGGTCGCTTAGTAAGAAAAACAATCTGAGGACGACCTATGAAAGATTAAATCTCGAAGAGAAAGCTTTTATATCCTCGACCAAGTTCAACCAAAGGAAGCTCTTGAGCAGACAAAGTAAACTGCGTCAATTGCAAACAAACGGCAACAGAGGGGTGAACTTGGAGACGCGACCAAAAACTCGCACGAATTTTCCTGATCTTGCCGGGAGCAGTGACAGTGTGATTCGTAGTTATTCGAATAATTTAACATTGCCCTACTCCAGGAATGGTTTACGCAGTCCAGGTGAGGGGAAACGACTCAGTTCTTTGCTGGGGAAAGAAGGCAGTATTAAACAAACAAAGTCAGATAATATAAACAAATATATCTCGCAGTCAAATGCGAGCAACAACTTCGTAGATTTGAAGGATGTTTCAACTGAGAAACGGAATGAAATTAGGACACCGTTCAGGTCGGCGAAAGTTGATTCAAAATCAAAGCAGGTTCAACAACGCTCAGGTCTCCATGTTGGTGATATTATTGCGTATTCCGCCAGTTATGGTAAAAGAGCGAAGCCGCAGAGGAGAGTAAGTTCCATTGATCAAGAGGGGGATGTGAAGATCGGAGGGAATGAGATTTCAGAGGTAAGAAGGTTCGTCAATTACACGTAAAAACAAATGGTAACAAACCTGCAGCAGACTTGTAACAATGCTGTTCCAACGGGATGTGTTCGCACTGCTTGTTCCCAGCTTGTTTAAAAGTTGTCAACGGCTTGTTGACAACTTGCTACAAGGTTGTCGAGCTCAACAGATTTGTTACAGATTGTTCCAACAACTTGTTGTCGTCCTGCAATTCAGCAATTTGTCAACAAGTTGTGAGTGACAACCTTGTAGCAACTTGATAAAGTACCAGCATTGTTACAACTTGTTAACAAGCTTGCTACAAGCCTGTTGCGAACACATCTTGTTGACAAGTTGTAAGATTTGTCGTTTCTTTCCATAGCGAACCAATGAAGACAAGGGTATTGCAGTTAAAAAACCAACTGTTTGGATGAACGATCTACATTCTTCTGCATCAACTGAGATAAATGAATCTGACACAAGATCCCTTGAAAACGAAAATATCAACTCAACCAAACATATCCAACATTCTGACAAGAATGTACTTGACCCGAAAGATCTTTCAAACAATTCCACAAGCCGTCGACACAGTCCCCGTGTGTTGTTCGGGAAGACAATTCTGGAAGAAAATGTAACAAATGCAGGCGAATCAATGGTGGTGCCTTGGTTGAGAGATTCGAATTGCCTAGCCTTGGAATCCAACTGTGTAACCGCAGAAACTCGTATGCAAGCAGACACGAACACTCAGTCAAACGAACTAACATCAGAGAGCCAGTTTATCACTTCACCTTTGGAACATTCTCGAACTCAAGAAAATGATGGTCCAAATGTATCAACAAGCTCCCGAAAACCTAACGAGCCTTTGATCTCTATAAGTTTCAACTCCCCACAAGTCCCAGCGCTAGTTTCTCGCACTCCATCTTGGATCGGTAGTAAAGCCCTGCCCGCCCTTGGCAGAATTCGTCGCGGTAGCTTCTGTGATGTAAAAACCTTCACTTCGGGTAAAGTTCTTGATTTGCTGTCCTCCTGCGAGATCCCAGAGGTAGAGACGAAAAACAGCAAGCAATTCTTGGAGGTTGACAACGAAAATTTAAAGTACTGTAGGTACTTGAGATCTGTGACACCCGAGGAAGCCAGTCTGGGTGCTGGCGGTGAAGCATTGGAAATACCTCTCAAGTATCGACCTTCAAAGAATATCATCATTGGGCACACTAAAGTTAACCTAATGCAATAATCTACATCATTCAGTAACAAGAGTTGACAAGATCAGGCTAAAATTGCTTCTGTATTTTTCTGTATAAACTGTAATTAAAATTGCGAGTTTTGTCAATGGGGCAGCGTTCACGTTTATGAATTATAGGTTGTCTTCTGTAAATGAAAAATGCAATATCCCATGTGTTCTGATCAAGCAATACAATGGCGTAAATTTCGGTGGAGAGGAGGCAATTGGAATTTGTCGGAAGTTTTACACCAAAAAAGGGCTAAGCGTAAAAATTCTAAAAAAGACAATTTTCAGGGGGGTTTAAAAAATGGGGGGGGTCGCCACCACCAGAAAAGTGAAATTTCCCCACTGGATCAAAGTGATAGCAACGACATCAAGCCTCAAGGACAACGTTGCAAGGTATGATTATGAATGACTGAATACTTCAGTTTGTAATTTTTGAGGCCAAGTATTATCTAGCATTCTAGGTGTTTGACATTAATACAAATTTGTGTATTTTCTTCAGAACCTTCATTGAAAGGATTTTATAACAATGTCTGATATCAGTGCAATAAGATTAATAATGCACAAATGAAACACTGGACTCTAGAGTTAATTATTAGCTTATCAAATTATCCTGAGTGTCAGACACATCGCGGTGTTCCCTATGAATGATATACTTCACAACCTTTGGGCAGGCACAACTTTCTATTCAAAAACTTATTTATGGACTGACCTATCCTGAAATACACATAATTTTCCCATGATAACTGTATGAAAGACGGTATTACTAAGTAAAAATTGCATACATACATTTGAGGATTTAATAAATTTGCTGTGCAGTCACTTTTAGAGATACAGGTATGTAATACTCAATGTTTTTGTAGTTTGCATAAATATCATTGAAATGTTCTCCTGTTTGGCAATGTTCCACAGACTATTACATTTTCCACTCAATTAAATAAAACCATATATTTCAACATTTTTATGTAACACTGTTCTGTTCAACAAAGTTCCTGCCACATAGCATCAATTTTTTCCAACATCCTTATTTACTGGCATTCCTGAATTTCTCTTTGAGTTGAGTTATTGTTTTCTGTGAGAGTTCTTTCAATGTTCCTGGTGTTTCGTGTAAGCCGTGGAAGATTTTCTTCACTCCTTTATTCCATGTTTCCCTAAACACATCTGGACTCTACAAAATGTTAGGCTGGATATATTAAAGCAGTTCTATCCTACCAAACTTGTTAATAGTTGCCATAGATACGTCAGTGTTGCATATGGTTTACTGGTTGCCAATATGTGGATTACCCTGAAGTTGTAAGGACATACTGCAGAACTTGTTTGAGTACTAGCCCATAAAAAAACATCCCTAGTGTCAATTTGTTGTTTGAATTAAATTTATCCTGTGCTCTTTTTTGTAACTTGATGAATTCTGAAGAGTTCAATGTTAGGCAAGGTTGAAATTTTTTTTTTGAGGAGTACAACCTTTCACCCAGGTACCTTGAAGTTTACCTAAAATGACTTATACCTTCCATAATGGAGGAAGTACCCACCAAAGATCCAGATAATGTGGGGGGGGGGGGTGATAAATTGCTAAATTGGTCAGGGGGGGTGGCCAATAATTATTATCCTGATGGGGGGGGCATGGGCGTACCGGAAGGAAAAAATTAGGGG